CAAGTGCCCCCTAACATTCCAGGATTTAGATATAACCCTGTTGTGTCTAAAGTTGTTGTTTTTTTTTCTTTCTAAAAGCACCTTAGACACAAATGGGTAATCCCTAAATCCTGGACTTGTAGGGGGTCCTTGAGGACTGGGTTGGGAACTGCCATAGAATATAGCTTGCATGACACCAGCAGGGATCAGTCATTCGAATCTGAGAAAGTATTGGTAATTTGCAGTGGGCATCGCTTTTGAATCAATATTGCTAACCCATTGCATTTGCATATGTTCCTAGAGTTGAGTATTGTAGTGTATACAGTTGCAAGAAAAAGTATGTGAACCCTTTGGAATGATATGGATTTCTGCACAAATTGGTCATAAAATGTGATCTGATCATCATCTAAGTCACAACAATAGACAATCACAGTCGGCTTAAACTAATAACACACAAAGAATGAAATGTTGCCATGTTTTTATTGAACACACCATGTAAACATTCACAGTGAACGTGGAAAAATCCATATCATTCCAAAGGGTTCACATACTTTTTCTTGCAACTGTATATGATCCTTTAGGGAGTTTAAGGAGATGTTGGGGAGATTATTCTCCTGAACAAACGCAATATCAGCTTTTTGTTTTTTGACTTCACTTAAGATAAGAGGATGTTTAGTGTAGGAATTCATCCCCTTAGTGTTTAGTGAACCCTTTTTTAGAGCCATACTGCTTATCCTAATGTCCCTACCCCTTGCCGCAATATAATGCATAAGAGATATGGAGCTGCCACCGATCTCCTCATGGTGTCTATATCACTTCTCCAATCACCCAGCCCCCATGGTGCAAAGAAAACAATAACAGAAGAAAGTAAGAAGTTTAAAAGAAGAAATACAATTTGTAAGAACTTTACATTCAAACATTGAACTATATGCTGGACTTACCATTCACCAGATCCAACTGGAATACCTGGCCAGTGGCCATTCCCTTTCCGGATAATAAAAATATCCTCAGGGATGCAAATGTTTTCAAAACAATGTCTCCACCCTCACCCCAACTCTGTACATCAAGTGGGATGTCAAGACAGAACCCCTCCTGCCCAAACTCCACGGAACCTCCCTGGGGGTGTTAGATCACCTGCCAATATTAGAAAAACATGACATGCAATAAGACCCAAGGTCCGAAGGCAACTTTTTCCTAATGTGTACAAATTGTACTAAAACTATACTATCATATTCTGTCTGCTATTGTTTACACGTTGCCCAAAGGTTTCACTGTCCTGTCAAACTGTCGTGTAGGGGCACCCCATCACACAGTTTGTCAGTCGACATCAATCAACAAGACGCGAAAGGACATAATCCCTACTGGCTGCAGTCACCCAGACATTCTCTCCACCAGCACAGCCTGAGCACGGTGAAAAACTTAAGAATAAGGTAACTATATACATTATTAAATTAAATTAAAAAGCTGCTTTACTTATCTCCCATTTGTGGGTATTAATTTCAGGGTGGGGGCAAAGGGCCACCCTAGGCGTAGCATGGGCAAGCAACCCACAATGTGGGTGCCAATCCACGCCCCTTTTGGTGAGCCCTTCCAGCACAAAACATAACACTTATGCCTCGTTTCCACTGAGCAGTACGGGTTGGGTTGGTACAGTTCGGAAGGGTTAAAATGGTCCAGCCTATTCAGGTGAGCGTTTGCACTGCAAGTCGGACTGCCAGGGGGCATGCGGGGTTTATACCAAATGCCTAGCGTGTCATTAGTCATGAGCATTGATGTTTTCCTGTCCGCCAATCAATGTATTGTATAGTGTGACGCCAGTAGCTCCGCCCTAACCGTACTGTATCATTTCCTATGGCCCTACATCTGAAGGGGGACCAGGAATGGTGCGGTTTGGTTCGGTTGTATGGGCCACTTTCATAATTGAAACACTCAAAATAGCATACTAGACCGTAACGACCCGAACTGTATTGCTCAGTGGAAACGAGGCAATATTGTTCCAACCCAAACCACAGACGCTTGCATGCGTAGAGTGAGAGGTATGAGATACTATATGTGTTTTTTGTTTTTTTAATTATATTTTCAGTGCCTCTTCCTGACATTATAGATAAAGTGGAATGCAACTGGAATCTTTATCTCTGTCTATCTGAGTGAACTTATTTGTAATTCTTACAACATGCCTTTTTAAAATTACACTACTGTTTGTTACATAAGATAATATCACGTTTTATAACACATAGTTATTATTTAACTCGGTAACTTTGATTTAACACCATGCAGTTATTTACTATAAAGCTTTTTTTTATCTGATGAAAGTCCGTATGCTTCTATTTGGGGTTTTTATCATGATAAAGGAAGAATGCTCTATCTGTGTCAATCTCTTTTCAGCCCTTCACCAGTTCATACTGGTAGTAACACACATAGACAGTACTTGCACATCAGGCTGTTTATCCTGATCACAAGTCATTCAAGGTTTTAACATCAGATTTGGCAGTAACAAAGATACAAAGTTTACAGAGAGAAATTAAAGGGACTGTGGCAGAGCTCCTATACTCAAACTTAGTATCTCCGACAAGTATTTCCTCACTCTGGAATAAAGTGATTATAGCTAGACTCCCAAACAGCAGCCGAGGTTTGAAGAAGGGTAAAGCAAGCGCACCTTTTATTAATCATCTTGCAGGTTTATATAACACATTCCCAATAGGGGGTCATCTAGAAACACAATGTAATCCCCCCTTGGTTTCGGGGATACAATGTTATCAACAACTAGATAATTTAATTAACTACCAGACACCACGGTGCCTATAAAAAAATAATGCAGGGAAAACAAGTGTTACCTGCATGATATCTCCATACATCCCTGCAGAGGTCTGATTCCAAAAGGCAAACTGTCAACAACAAAAAAACACCCAGATCAGAGTTGTTTAGCCAGATCAAACTCTGGTTGAAGTTTGACCGGGCCATCACCATTCCCAAATCCAGTGCATAGTTTTTACAATGTTTGGTGGTAAGACCTGGCCCCCAATAATGCCTTCCTCTGGCTTCAGAGACGAGAGCTCCCACAAGTGGGATAGGCATTAAGAAGGCTATCATAGCTATAAGATAAGGTCAAAGATTACCGAAAATTTTTAGAACATTGGGCAGACTAGATGGGCCGAATGGTTCTCATCTGCCGTCACATTCTATGTTTCTATGTTTCTAAGTCTACAGTGTTGTGGATGCCTGAAACACTATTCCCCTGATCTCCTATTAAAATAGCTTTCTGTTTCATGTTCAGGGGACTGAGCAATACCCGATTAAATTTTTACCAGACCGCTGTATATTTCCAATCCAGAAACAGTTCCAGGGTGATTCAGGTTAATCGCTCTAGAGTGAGCGTAGATAACTTCCCAGGGTCCCTGGAGCTAGTACAAGTAGATATTGTGGATGTCCTGCAGAGTAAAAGTCCAGGGTGGAGGGGTGAATAAACGTATTTTTGTTTTTTTGGATAGAGATTGGTCTGGAGTCCCCTAGTTATCATAGTAACCGGATCAATCCGTCACAGGGACACCAACAAAAAAACGAGTAAAAATATGGTTTTAAGACCATCATGGAGGAATGCCAGTAATTCACTGATTTCACTCGGTCGGGAAACATATGAACGTCTCTGAGTAAGTTCCTCTTGGCATGAAATGCATAACGCAGATCTAAGTTGCCTTGGTCTGTAGATCCCCCTGTTTATTCTACCTTCATTGCATATGTAATAAACTGATTAACCTATCTCCAGCCGCTCTCCTAATGATGGTGGACTTTCCAGTGTGTGGATGAAAGCGTGTAGACCATAGAAACACAGCATTTATACTATTGTTCACATAGAAACATAATAAGGTGGAAATATTTGTGGAAATGTCAAAGCTGTAGGAGCATATGTTGTAAAGTTAAAAGAGGAGGTATATGAAGAATAGGTGCTGTTATTATCACCATATATGTAAAGATTCGGGAGTTATATGGATTTTGGTACAAATGGACCAGACGTGTCCCACAGACTGTATCTTTGTTTGAATGGAGCATTGTGCTTGATTTAAAAGGCCATTTTCTCTACTCTACAAATCCAATCTGTAAGAGTCTGGAAGGGTCTGTGACCTTGTGTGATCATTTATCAAGGGGCTACGTGTGCTGCTAGGGACTTTCACCAAAGCCAAGAGACAACCAGAAACTATTTATTTTCTTTAGTTTTATAAAGTGTCTCCCAGTGCTGATTTCAAACTGAAAATTGTCAAAACTAACCTTGAATTGAATTTGAATGTAAATGCATTTTTAAAAATGGAATCTTGGCATTATCTAAATTTGCTGTGGTTTATAGGTGTTCAGGTTAAATCTCTACACTGTGATAGTGATATTAGGAAAAAAAGTTAATAATAATAAAGGTCACTCCATGTACTAGTACAGTTTTAATGAATTTGATAGGTTTTGGAATTTAATATTTTCATGCTTAAATCTGTTTTGTTTTTACACCAAAATAAATAAATAAATAAATGTTTGCAGAATTCTGCACCATAAACCTGCCTTGCTTAGCCACGCCCCCTTACTCCAGATAAACTCTTCCTTGTCAAATGTATGTACACAGCTCAGCCACTGACAGTAATGAGTGATTGGAACTACAGAGCAACCTGCTTTAGCAGGAGGCTTACAGTAATAATACCACTACCTGTATATAGTTTATCTGACTGTCTGCAGACAGATTGTGATTTTATTAAAGACACGGAGGCTCATATTATGCATAACTCTTTCTTTATTTCCTCAGCAGCAAAGAAAGAGAAATATAAATATTATCAAAACTGAAGAAAAAACTGTATAGGCACAACAGGTAGCCAATCACAGGATATAGGAAGTAGCTATATAAGTCTTGTGTCTCCCACAATCCCCCTCTTTCTTTGCTGCTTCCTCAGACAGATAAGTGTTTTTCTGCTCTGTATTGCTGAGAATTCTATTTGTTTTATTGTACTGTTTTAATTGCTTGTATTTTCACTGGTATACATTTCATACTATTCTGACTGCGGGTGGTGTCCTCCCTGGGTCCGCGGGTGTTTTCCCCGCCCTGCCCGGGTGGTTTTCCCTCCCCTTGCTTCCCCTCCCGTCTTTTCTGAACGGTCCCCGTGTAAATAGTGCCGCAGCCGCCCTCTCCTCCCAACCGCGGCGGTGTGCGCGCTCCCCCCCCCTCCTTCCCGCATTCGCGAGCCGGCTCGGCGGGCAGGTGCACGAGCCCCTTCCCCCGCTGAGTGCTCGCCGCGTGTGCCTTCCCTCGTGCGGCGGCCATTTTGGGGCGGTCCCTTGTTCCTCCCAGTGCTGCCGGGCGGCCGGCCACCTCGTTGCCCTGCTCCCTGAGTATGCCAGCCGGACAGTCTGTATTGCTACTTGTGGGTTAATCAACCCCCCCTTTTACTCTCCTAATAGTTTTCTCCTAATCCCCTTAGTTTATTAGTCTGTTTTCATCCTCATTTACAATTATTATTTAATTCAGTCTGCTCTGCTATCCCTCATCAGTGTTAATATGCAGGATAGGGGTGATGGGCCTGTTGGTCCCCCAGGGGACTTCCAATTAGACAGCACTGAGGGTGCCATAGCCTCCCAGGAATTTCAAGCCATGTTTGAAGCCACTATGGCTTCCTCCATACAAAAGGCTATTGCCTCAGCCATGGGAGCTGTCTCTTCCAATTTTTCACAATCCCTGCACTCTCTAGTTTTACCTGCTCTGGCCACCCCCGCCCCTTCCCCTGCTCAGACCGTGCCTGGAGCCCGTAAGGCAAGGGCCAAATCCAAACATGTCGGCTCCCACTCCTCGATGCAGGTTCTACCTGCCATGACTGACACGCCTGAGGCGGTCTCAGATGGCGCGCACCCCACGCGCAAAAGAGCCCCTGGCCGGGCTAAAAAGGCTAGACTATGGAAAAGGGCTAGAGCCCCTGATGTTGGGTCGGATACCGACCGGAGTGTGGAGGATGAGTCCGACGCTATGGAGTACGACTCCTTTGATCATGATGACTCTGGCGAGGAATTGCCCCTTACGGGCGTGAACCCCTCCGGGTCCTCTGCCAATACCCGGGGCCCCTCACTTGCCCCCCCTGGGGTTGACACCTCGATCCTTGACCCGCAAGGTAACCCCCTATTTGACCCAGACGACCTACGTTACCCTCGGTCCGCCGAGTGGGTTCCCCCGGATCATATCGCCCAATATGTAGCTAAGCGCATCCGCACGCCACTTTCTAGGGAAGGCCGCAATAAATTGCGCGCCGAGTGCCCACGCCCGCCTCTCCCGGGCGCTGCTTGCAAAACCCCGGACATTGACCCGCAAATTGCTCAATTCCTGAATAAGTCAGGATGGAAACCCAAGAAGGGCCTTGACCACTCCCTTAAAAGCTGCCAGGACAAAATCCTGGATACCCTGGGCCCCCTTTCCAAGCTCTACGAGCTTTTGGATGCTGCCAGGACCGGGGACTCCATCCTGGACGTGGATGTGGCCATTGGTTGGGTCCAAAGGGCTATATGCTTACTGGGGAACGCCAATACGGCCATGTCTACAGAAAGACGTAAGGCGATACTCTTGAAGATCGACCCTAAATTGGCCGCTATGACTGTGGCGGAGCCTGATCCAACTGAGGAGGGTCTACTGTTTGGCACGTCCTTCGTTAAGGATATGGATGCTTATGTCAAGACCTTCACGGCAATTGACAAAGCGCAGGCGAACATGAAGCGCGTGTTCGCGCCTAAGGTTTTCGGAGGGGCCGGGCGTAGCAGGAACCGTCCACCCGGCCGTGGTTTCCGAGGCGCATTTCGCGCAGCCAGAGGTTCCTTTTTTCCCTCGAGAGGATTTCAGGACCAGAGGGCCCCTCTCTTCTTTCCGGCAAGAGGTCGGACCTGGGGCTCCAGATACCCCCGCGGTGGTACCCCCGGCAGACGTCCTTACGGTGAGTACCCTTTCTTTCCCTCACGCTCAAGTTCAGGTGGCGGGGAGGCTGGCCTTATTTTGTCGAGAATGGGCAAAGATCACCTCAGATGCTTGGGTTTTACAATGTGTAAGAGGCTTTCATCTGGAGTTTGTTTCCATGCCTGTCCAGTTTTATTCCCCCAGAGAACTGTCCCTCCCTCCGGAGCAGGACGAGATGATTTCCACGGAAGTAGTGGAAATGCTGTCCAAGGGTGCTATAGAGGAGTTGCCGTTCACCACCCCAGGCTTTACGAGCAATTTATTCCTGGTGCCCAAGAAAGGGGGCGGAGTCCGCCCTGTAATAAATCTTCGCCCACTCAACGCTTTTCTACGTTACCAACACTTCCAGATGGAAGGTATACACTGCCTCAGAGACCTTCTACATCAGTCAGACTGGTTGGCCAAGCTGGACCTGAAGGACGCTTACTTTACGGTCCCCATCGCTTTGGAGTTCCGGGATTATCTCCACTTCACCTGGCATGGGCATCGTTGGCGCTTCACCTGCCTGCCTTTCGGTCTCTCCTCGGCCCCTTGGTGCTTCACCTAGCTCATGAAGCCCGTGGTGACATTCCTCCGGACCCGGGGGGTTCGCCTCATTATCTACCTAGACGATATCTTGATTTTATCCCAGTCACGAGAGGATCTCCTCACACACCTGGGATGGACGACCGACCTTCTGCAGAAATTGGGATTTCTGATCAATTGGAGCAAGTCGGTCCTGATCCCTGCCCAGTCCATAGAGTTTCTGGGTTTTCAAGTGGATTCCATCCGGCAGTTTCTGTTCCTTCCGGATGCCAAGGTGAAAGCCATCCAGAAGGAAATTCGGAGGGCCCTCCGTGTTCCGGACTTGTCGGTCAGACAACTGGCGAGAATTATCAACCTTCTCGCGGCCTCTATTCAAGCAATCCTCCCAGGCCCGCTGCACTACCGAGCGCTCCAACGGCTCAAGGGATCTCGACTTCGCTCAGGTCATTCATACGAATCTCGGATAACGCTAGACGAGGAGTCCAGGGACGAGCTAGGGTGGTGGTTGGCACACATGGAGGCATGGAACGGAAGAGCCATCTTCGGTTCCGCCCCGGATGTGGTGATAGAGTCCGATGCCATCTTACACGGCTGGGGCGCTCGTTGTGGCAACGTCTCCACAGGTGGCAGATGGTCCGACACAGAGAAGTCGTTACACATCAACTGCTTGGAACTCCTAGCAGGTGCCTTCGCGATCCGCAGCCTTGCTCCGGGGAGGGCGAATTGCTGCGTTCTCCTCAAGATGGACAACGTATCAGCAGTTCGTTACATAAATCACCTAGGGGGCACGAAATCCAAAATGTTGGCGACTCTGGCAAAGGATTTTTGGCAGTTCTGCCTCTACAACAACGTCTCGGTGACGGCGGAACACATCCCAGGTCTGGACAATTCGGGGACGGATTGGAATTCCAGACACTTACGGGACTCCGGGGACTGGCGTCTACATGCTTCGGTGTTCCAGTGCCTGAACAGGTTGTGGGGCCGGTTCCAGTTGGACCTATTCGCATCACGCCTGAACACTCAGCTACCGAGGTTCTACAGTTGGAGGCCGGACCCGGCTGCAGTAGCGACAGATGCCTTCCTCCAAGAATGGCCACCGGGTCTGATGTACGCTTTTCCCCCATTCAACATGATCGCACGCACGATTTCGAAACTGGTCCGCCACGATTGTCGGATGACGTTGATCACCCCTCTATGGAGGTCTCGACCATGGTTCCCTCGCCTGATGGAATTGTCCATAGACTACCCTCGTTTGCTTCCGGTATTCCAAGATCTCCTTCTGGATCCGGATGGGAACTCTCACGACCTGGTGTTGCAACATCAGCTACCCCTTATAGCGTGGTTCCTTTCAGGGGACCTTGGGTTGTCCCAGATGTTTCGCAGTCAACTCTCCGACTCCTCGATAACGCCTGGGCCCCGGGTACATGGACAGCTTACCGACATTCATGGAGATCATGGTCTGGTTGGTGCATGGAACGGGCAATGGATCCCGTATCTGCCCCTCTACCTTTGATTCTGGAGTTCCTCACGTTCCTATTTGATTCGGGCAAGGCATACCGCACGATCAACCTTTTCCGCTCAGCTATCTCAGCCGGTCACGAAGGTTTGGACGGTTCTCCAGTCGGCAAACATCCTTTTGTCTGTCGACTTCTCAAAGGTATTCGCCTTGCTCGTCCTCCTCGACCTCGTTTTTCTGCCTTTTGGGACGTCAACGTGATGCTACAGTTCCTATCGTCGTGGTACCCTAATCTGGAGCTGACTCTCAAACAATTGTCTGCCAAATTGGTTATGTTACTATGCCTGATTTCTTGCAGAAGGGTCTCTGACGTTCGGGCCCTGGACTGGGACGCCGTTGCATTCACCCCAGAAGGCGTCACTTTTGACATTTCCAGGAGGACTAAGTCTGCATCTAAGTCATTTACATAACCTAGGTTTTCAGACTGTCCAGCGCTCTGCCCGGTGGATTGCATCAAGGACTACCTGGATGTTACACGTCCCCTTCGCATAACAGACCTGCATGATCTGTTCATATCCTTTAAATCACCTCACCGGCCGGTTTCGACTCCTACTCTGGCACGTTGGGTGCGCTGGCTGTTATCCTCCGCGAGTATAGACACCTCCGTATTTACGCCTCATTCTGTGCGGGGCGCGATGGCCTCGAAAGCCTCTTCAATCGGATGTCGCCTAGAGGACATTATGCGAGCGGCGGATTGGTCTCGGGAATCGACCTTCCGAGCCTTCTACTTCAGACCAATTGAGCACATCGCATCTCGTGTGGTGGCGCAGCTTTGAACTTGCATAATATGAGCCTCCGTGTCTTTAATAAAATTCCCAGATTTTACTAGTAACATGGCGTAAAGTCATGATTTTATTAAAGACACGGAGGCGAGTATTATTCCCTCCCACCCTCGCGGAGTGGAGTTGGGATAAGAGATGCTTGGTGACTCTACAGGTATGTTTCCCGTTGGGTCTGTATTTTATCAGTTTAATTTTGCATCTTTTGTATGGGTTTTGTACCTTTGTGCTGTTCACTAATTCTGATGTTTTATTTTTCAGAACTCAGTTTTACCTGTGTCTCCCCAAGATTATGTTTGGTAAGTCTGCAGTTATGAGTTAAGAAATTACCGTATTTCTCTATCTTTTTAGCTTAAAGTTATCGCATCGTTTCCCGTTACCCTGTTTTGATCAAGTGGGACATCGTTCATCTTACCTGGTCTTCGGTTCGCAAGAAAGAGGGGGATTGTGGGAGACACAAGACTTATATAGCTACTTCCTATATCCTGTGACTGGCTACCTGTTGTGCCTATACAGTTTTTTCTTCAGTTTTGATAATATTTATATTTCTCTTTCTTTGCTGCTGAGGAAAT